GGGGATTAGAGATTCCCTCATGGGTGAATCTCTAATTTTCCCCTCTCTCTTGTCCACTCAGGAGCTGCGCAGTGCTTCTCCACATAAGTCAGGCGGTTTGTGAGGTCTGCAAAACGATTCGGGGTCCCGCGCCTCACAGCTGTCACCGAAACCCTTCCTCTGCAGCCGTCCCCTCAACGGACACTAAACGCAGAGCTGCAGAAAGTTTGGGGCGCATTGTTGTTCAGAGGGGAGGCTCATCGTCGCTGCGCTCGATTGACGGCTGCCCTGTCAGTTTGTCGCGGGGCTTTAGAAAACACCAACGGCTCTCTGATGAAGTGCTTACAAAAGGTCAGAGGGTGGAGGGAGGTAGGGGGGGAGGAAAAGAAGACAGGACAGACTGAAGGAAAATCCATAACACAAATATAGCTGTCAGAAGCGATGCAGAGTTAAGGCGGAGGCACAATGAACCATGGGAGCTTTTTTTTCATGAAGATGCTCGGTTCGAACACAACAGGCGTCCTTTCTCTGCTCTCCAGCACACATTGACCATCTTGAGTGCTCTACCCGATCTGCAGCAATGACCTCTTGATCCGCCACGACTCTGAAATTAAACTGCGCTCCGACCTCACTTCAAGCTCTCAGTCCTCCAGACTCCACAGTCCCCCCCAAGCCCCCCACCGCCTCCTTTTTCCCTTCCAGCTCTCAGGTGCCAAGCGCCACTCTGGAGAAGCTGATCTAATGCTTCCTCGGCTTCGACAACCCAGGCGAGGAGCTCTCACACAGTTGTTTTCCCCCGCCAACACCTTCTATATGTTTTCTATCTCTGCATGAAACCCCAAGCCAACCCCTCCACACCCATAGGAAACTGTCTCTTCCGTTTTGGGCTGTTGGGTCACTTCTTCCCACATCCATCAGCATGTAATGGGACTGAGCTCTGATAGACTCCGTGAAAAAACAAAAAGACTTTCGGAAACGTCTCATCTTTGTGGAGACGTTAACACCGAGTCACACATCGAGGAGGAAAAACGAATACGAGATAAATAATCTGCAAGTTTCAATAGCAAACAACAATAGTTAAATCTTTTTCTGGACGATACTGACTTCCTTTTTTTTTGCTAAGGAATGTTTAACACTAAGGGACTGATGTGCTGCAGGTTAAGTGACTTAACTTAGCTCTGAGTCCAGCAGGAAAATGATCCATTTTAAACCAGATTTTTATCATAGGTTACACTTTTAGTTTATGTGCTTGGAAAACAAAAAACGGCTATTTTGTAGTGCAGATGTATTAAATAAACAAGTAAAAAACATTAAATCAAGGGAAAAAATTGGCCTTTACGATTTCTGATTAAAACCCATTTAGGGAAAAATTGGTCGATTTCGATTATTTACGAATTGATTGTTGAAATTTTCCACCAAATCAGTGAAAGAAAAAAAAAAAAAAACATTCCCCCCATCTGCTGCACAGCAACTTTATGATACGGCACCGCCGCCTGACCCGCTGTGAGAAAACACATCTAATCTTGGAAAAAAAAAAAGAGAAGAAAAAAAAAGACGTGTGGCATTTATTATGAGACAGACGCACACGTTTTTGCACAAGCGTTCGGCCCCTCAGCTTCTCCCAAATAGCAGGTTCAATTAGAACCACATGTATAATCAGGCCTCAGTCTGAAGCAGAGCAGCGGCAGTCAATCACTACAACTTCATAACAATCTCTCAATTTTTATCCCCAATTAGTGAAAAGAAAAATCTCATTTCATATTTGTTACATTTCATATGATTTATTTCAACCAAAGTTGAAAAACAAAACATTTTTCTATTATAGTTCATTAGCTTCAAACCCAACATTTGAAATTACTCGTCCAGGAAGAATTTTTCTGCTTTCTTTTTTTCCCCAAAACCAAAGCATATTAAGAATGAAACCATTTCAGCTATTAAACACACGAGTGCTCCAACAGTAGATCGAACACAGGTCAAAGCCAGCATGTATAGCTGCTGCTGTATATTCCTGCTCTTCAACATCACTTAGGAACAAAAAGCCCACTCAGACTTGTGGGTTTTGGGATGAAGGGAGAGGGTTTTAATGAAGAGAGCATCAGAGATGTGGAGACAGACGGCAGCGAGTCGTCGATAGGCTTCCAACGCGCAGGACATTTAAAAACCTCAAAACGTTGTCCATTTTCACTCAAGCAGGACAGGTGAATTGAGGAGCACTACACACACGCTCGGATGCATACACTGTTCCACATGTACCTTCACATGTACTCATGATGGAGGTAAGGACTCTTTGAGTGAGTTATGGAATAATACAATCACATCGGTGGCTTTTAATCCCATTGAAGGGGTTTTTAGAGCGCGTGAGATTCATTATTATCGCCTGTCTCTCTAGACGGGTTTCCTACACGGCTCCCAGTCACGCCCCGCCGTGCACGCACTACTCCACATATTCCAGGACCATTGGGGGGAAAAAAGAAAAATCGTCATTTAAGCATTGTGCAAGCACAGAAACAACTGCCTGAAACTGATAGGAATTTAGGAAACAGGAGAAAAGGAAACATGGGATGATATAAAACAGAACACGTAAGCTTTAAAAACGGGGGGAAGAAAGAAAATAAGGCAGAGAGGAAAGTGTTGAGGCAAGTCAGATGGAAAAAAAGGTTGCAAATAAAGACAACAGCCGGGAAGCAGGCAGGGAGAGTCTCAGACACCTTCAGCCTTCTTTCACGTTCAGCTTCTTTTTCTTCCAAAAAAAAAAAAAATGAAAACTACTTTTTGGGTCCTAATTTCTAACATTCCTCTAAAAAAGCAGCATCTCACCGTTACTGCAGCAGAGGGACTTTATCCTGCTTTGTATACTGGAAAGTGGAAATCACAATGATCACTCAGCCTGATGCAAACATAAATATAAAAAATAAAGTTTTTTTTTTATAAAAAGAAAAATATATCAAATTTAAATCTTAAGACAACAAAAAGCAGCAGTTTAAAATCATCCAAAAAAATGAAGTTGGGAAAGTTTTTTATGCTCTATTTTCACAGGACCTGCTTCAAATGATTAAAATCCTCATTTCTAATACTAATATAAATTATTACCAAACACTGCTGACAGTCATATATTAATTTGTGATTCTTTGTTTCATGAGTGAAATTAAGTGGTAAGAAAATAGGCCAAAAGTTTAAAAGAAAACAACTATGCGCAGATTTTTCAAAAAACAGGAATAAAAGGTTAAACTCTATAACTAATGGTTATTGACGCATCCATTGACGCACCTGGAGCTGTGCGCCTTATTAAAACTAAACCGGAACAAAACGCCTTCCAAAATGTGGCAAGGTCATGAAATATGATTTAGAGCTTCTTCTTTTTTTATTATTATTATTATTCCCGCTGGATCTTCTATTAAAGCGCAATTAAAAGTGTGTCATCACGCCGAGAAAATGCCGCAACAGACACATGGAGGTATAGCTGCTGGTGGGGGGAGAGAGGGGGGAGGGGGGTGATGAGGGGGGGACAACAGTGCAGAAAGGACACAGTAAATAAAATTAATTATGCCAAATGCCCCCGCGCCCATCAATCACAGGGCAATAATGCCCGTGTCAGAGTGTTGCACCCACACGGCCTGTATGCTTGTGTCCGACTGACAGACAACTAACAGCAATTAATTGTCATTTCATTCCGCAGCCATTTTTATGCGCAGCTGACACGCAGGAATCCGCTGGTTGATTTTATTTCAGAATCTACATATTAGATAAAAAAAAAAAAAAAAAAAAAAACTTTCTTTTTTTTATGCGTAAAGTTGCTGCGTTTTGTTTCCAATCCTTGCGCAGAAAACGTCTCCTTTTTTTTGTTCCTTTTGGAGAAATTAGGATTTTCTTCAGTGTTTAAGGCCTATTTCCTATTTTAAGCAGAAACATGCTTTAGTTTCTACATAGGCCGGCATGAAATCTAACAATGCATCATTTTATTATAAATAAGCCGTGTATGTTTTTTTATATTGAAGTATAATTAATAATATTGTTATCAGCGTTAAGTGTCAATGTTTTACACAACTAAAATGAATCCATGCTGCAGACGCGCACTTTTAGGATTCACATTAATATGGTTCACAACTTTTCTCGCGTCATAAAAGCAAAAGAATAAGATTTAAAGTGTGTTTTTAAATTACTGTAATGCAAATGAAACTTTAAAAGCAGGACAGAAATGAAGGAAGCAGCATCAACCCTCGGTGAGGTCTCACAGAGCGACTCTGGTTTCAAAAGTCAGAATCTTTTGAAAAGAAAGTATTGTTCCCCCAAACCTATTGACCATGTCAGCTCAATAAGCCCCCCCATCCCTCCTCAAGACAAGAGCGCTTTTATCTCCAGCAGGCAGATAATCTAAGTCATTTTCTATCATTTTAATCACCATAGTTTAATCATTAGTAGCTTAATAAATGTTTGAAATATTCAATTAAGAAGCGTTTATGGCGTTAAATAAAATAAAACATTACAACTCCTCATACATTTATCATAAACCTTTTTAGTTTAAGTTTTATTTTTATTTTTTTCGGACCTGGGCTCCCGACATTTCAGTTGCTTTTATAACAACAACAACCAAGAAAAAGTTTTTTTGTTTTCTTTAAAGAGGAAAAACATTCCGCCACGCGGTTATTAACGTTTAATAACGCGAAATATCGCGTTAATAAGTGGGATTCGTAAAGGAGATTTTGAAACAAAATATAACTTTTTTTTTCTTACTAAAACAAAAGTAAGAAGAGAGAAAATCATCACTTTTTACAAACAAATCACATGTGGCTCTTTTTTTTTAAAGTTTCGGGTTAGAAATAGTCAAAGTTGAAAAGAAGCAGCGACAGAAAAAGAAACATGATTGTTTGCTTTACTTCAATAAACTGATAATATTATAAATCTTTATAAACAATAAGTGGGAAGGAAAAAAAGAAAGTTATGCATCAGAGAGTTTCAATGGAAGCGCGGAAAGAGAGGAAGGAAGAGTTTAGAAAGTAATGGTGCAGAGATAATGCATCAACCTGTTCTCTCGGTTTCTGAAGAAGTCAACTTTCACGCCAGCGGTTGGAGCATGTGGACAGCCCCGCTTCTGCTCCTCGCACCCCGGCGCTTCCACTCTCTCTTCACGGCGACAAACAAGAGGGGCGCACCACCAGACGGGACGCGAAAAAAAATGGAAGAAAAAAAAAAACAATAGAGAGGAAAAGAGAGCAAAAGAGACAGAGAAATCTATGGTCTTAAGACCATTACTTCTTTTTAAGCGGCGAAAAAAGCCTGGTCGTTAAGTCCCTTTTCCTTTCCCCCCCTTTTGTGTGCGTCCTCTCTCCTCAGAGTGGCCCCTCTAGAGTGAAGTCGGAACAATACTGCCGCTAAAAACTCTGGCAATGAGCGCAACTTGCAGCGGGGGAGAAACAACGCGCCTTTCTTTTCTTCACTTGCTGCTCCTGCTTCCAAAGGCTTTCTCCTCAAAGAAGCCAAACCGGCGCGTAAAAACCTCCCGGCCGGACTGCACTTTTGGGCATCCTGTCTTGTTGCTCGCTTGGAAATCAGGGTTGAATCACTTCGGCTGAGCGCGTGTGAGTGTGTGTGTTTGAAGGGAGTGTGTGTGTGTGTGTGTGTGGCTCGGGGGGAGAGTTTGCTGCGCTTTACCGTATTTCCTCTAAAGCAGGTGCGCAAAGTAGTGGCGCACTGCATTTGAAGGGAGCTGTCTCTATGTCGCTCTCCAGGCGTGTGTGTGTGTGTGTGTGTGTGGATTGAGGGGAAGGCACTGATCTTTTGACCCGCTTTGCATCCTTGCTGAGTTGTGCTATTGTGGAGGCAGAGAGCAACAGATGTTGGGCTGCACAAAGTTTGAGCCCAGAAACCGCCAGAAACAAAGCACAATCAGGACAAACAGCTTTTTTCCCTACCTTTTAAGAGAATCAATATATATTTATATTTCTGAAATAATAAAATATAAATACGCATAAAACCTGATGACCTATATCATCACCTTTTATATATTTTTTAATCATTCTAAAAGTCAAATAATGGGCCCAGGTTTAGATGGTACAATTTGTTTTAGATATAGTTCCCAAAGGGCCAGATTTGTGAGATTGGATCATTACTTGTATTTAATTATTTTATAATACATTTTATAAAACAGATTTATTTCAGATGACAACTTTTATTGTCATTTCTTATACACAGAGTGTATATAAAATAAAATTTCGTTTTTTACAGCTTTCATGACATTTCCTTGGCCTAAACAGTGACAGCATTGCAAAAAAAAATAATAAATTTCAACTGATAGGAAAACCTTTTTCAGGTTAGCATTAAACCCTGTGCCTTACTGAAAAGTAAAGTTTGTAGCTGAATTTGTCGATATGGTGTGATTGTCCTGGATCGATCTGAATAAATAGTTCTTGATAAAGAATCTCTTATTTTTTGCTCCTTTAGAGCCTTGAAATATTTTTAACTTAATTTTTTTTTGGGAGGGGGGGTGACTGATGCTACCTGAATAAACTGAGTGGAAGTTGAATTAAACTAAAATGCAACCTAGCATGCTGACCAGAACCTTTTACCTTTAAGGATTGCAAAAACACAAATTCAGTTATGGAACAAACTGTAAAAATAAGTTTAGAAATGAAACATTTAAAAATGCGCTAACTGTTGTATTTCACTGGCTGTTTAGTCCAGTAAGGTTAATTCAAACCTTAAACCCTCACAACAGCTGTTTGCTCTTTACAATAATTTCACTTCTGTTAATAGAAGGTACAGTATGATATACAGTTGTATCATTATAATACACTGAATTATAAATGTGGCCTTTAGCATCTTTGCTCACTGTTTCCACCTCCTCTGTAAGGAAAGCAGTTCAGGTCTCCCAAATGTCACCTTTTACTTAATAAATTTTTTTTGTCAAATTCTATGAACATTGTAGAAACGAGAAAAATAAAGAAGGAAAACTGTTTTATGTCACAATTCCTACCTCTCATACTTCCTTTATCTCGACCTCTTTCAGTTCATGTTTACCATGAACTGAAAGAGGCCGGTATATCTTTTTTTAGAGCTTTTTTTTAAAGCATCGTTATTATTTATTATGAGCTAAGGCAAGGGAAGTTTTTCTGTAGAGTAAAACATTTTTTTTTTCTGTTCAAAAAGTAGTTGAGCTTAGTAAGTTTGAGAACATGTGTTTTGTCTACATATCAGATGTAGAGGGTAATATCTGATTGATGCAATTTTTTATTTTTTTTTAATGAGACCGTAGTATATTGAGACTTGTTAAAAACAACAATAAAAGCCGGGCGTACGCTGTGTGATTTGTTGCCCTTTTCGGGGCGACTTTCCAGTCGTGCGAGAATTTTCCGATCGGGCCGACTTTCAGCCTGATCGTGCGTGGTGTAGTGTACAGGGGGTAACGTGGGACAATCAGCCTCTCACAACCAAATCAAACGTGTGAAATTCAGTCGTCCATGGTGGGCAAATCACTCAGTGTGCATGTGCAAACAAGGATTCTTCTTCTTCAGATGAAAGCACAGAAGCATGGCGGGGTGCGAGTGAAATGGAGTTCTTGCTGTAAAATTGACAGACCGTAATAGCCACGTTTGCTCGGCCATGTCTTTGTCCAACTATGTCGCTGCCTTGTTTTTTTTAGGGCTTTCAGCACAAAATTGGACAAATTGCCAAGGCAGCGTGTTTCACTCTAGTGAGCTTCGGATAGACGAGTCCGAGTAGTGCCATCTCACTGCGGAGCTGAGTCCGATGTGGTTTTTGGACGTACAGTGTGAGCAGGTAAATCTAGAGTGACCAAAGGGGGACGGAGCGACCGAACCCGATGCGGTGACGGTATGCTTGCACGGTAAGGCAGATGGGGGGAAGCACGGGGCTGCCGTTGTCCAGGCTACCCTGCGGTTTCATCGTACAGTGTGAGCTGTAGCTGTGTCCAATGACTGAAAAAAATTGCACAGTGTATGCCATCGACAAACACATTAATGCTGGGTGCAACTAGTGCAATAGAACTTTATTGTCCTGTACCTATAAACCAGTCTTCAGTCAGAGGACTTGACCAAAGTGATTTGCACTACATTCAGTCATTCACTCATTCACACACACACTGATGGTGGTAAGCTACGTTGTAGCCACAGCTACACTATTTGACAGAAGCGAGCTGCCGTACACTGGCGCCACCCTCAGACCACCATCAGTAGGCCTTGCAGGTGAAATGACTTGCCCGAAGACACCACGACACCAGAGATGGGAAGTAACGAAGTACAAATACTTCGTTACTGTACTCAAGTAGATTTTTCTGATATTTTTAGTTTACTTTACTACTTATTTTTATGGCGACTTTTTACTTCTACTCCTTACATTTTTACACAAATATCCGTACTTTCTACTCCTTACATTTTAAAAAATTGGCTCGTTACTTTAGTTTTGAATCATTTCAATGGAGTTACCGTTATTATTTTTCACGTCATCAATACCAAATTCAATCTAATTGGATGGGAATCTACGTTGCATTTGACGCACCACTACAAGATGAATCGACAGATTTGGCGGTATTCATTCGCAGCAAATCATTGCAGCTTGGTGGCGGTGGCGTTAGCATAGTAGTATGGACGACGAGATGATTGAAAATGAACACAGCGGAGATCTAGTCCTATTGGCAGACATCCATTTAAAATGTAGGCAACGGCATGAAAAAAGTGGTTTCTACTTTTACTTTTATACTTTAAGTAAATTTACAAGCCTGTACTTTGTTACTTTTACTTGAGTAAAGAAGTTTAATCAGTACTTCCACTTTTACCAGAGTATTTTTTAACACAAGTATCTGTACTTTTACTCGAGTACGGAAAGTGAGTACTTTTGCTTGAACCCACAACCCTTCAGTTGCAGGGCAAGATGCCACTGTAACCCCACTTAAACTAACATGCTGGGAAAAAAATTTAATATCAGTGATGAAAGTTATCAATTCATGAATTAATCTCTTATATGTCGACTATTAATTGATAAGCCTCAATTTTGTTTAAAACTTTAGTTTTCTCTTGTATCAAGAGGATCTTTCCATAATATGAAGGGCTGCATATTTTTTTATAACATGGTGAGTTATAAAAAAAGAAGGAGCTGTATTAAATACTAACCAAATAAACAAAAAATGTTTTATAGAAGAAAGAGGAACCTATTACTCACTGATAAAAGAATAAATCATAGATGTGAAATCAAAACATTTCTAATGCACAGAGATATAAAACTATCATTAACAGACAGGGTATGTTGCTCTGACATGCTATTAGTCTTTTTTCCACTTTGTTTCAGTGAAGTGGATGATAGCTATGATGTAGCTCTTTGTGCTGTTAGCAGCACTTTTAACAGGGTAGTTCTGATTGTTAAGTGCATTAACTCACTAAAGCATTCTTTATGTACCCGGCTTATTGCTAGCGTGGCTTCTTCTATCGTTTTACGATGCCCCTCACATTTCTATCATCACATCCCTGCATATGAACACAGCAGAGGAGTCAATGCCATTTCAACATGGCTAAAAGGGCGCTAAATAGGTTATACCTTAAGGCGTTTATGCAGAGTCTATGTTTACAAATAGAAAAGTCTAAAAGGTGTTCTGCATCCTTGGAGCCATAAAAAAATGAAAACAATCAATAACCATTTCTGGACCGATTCATGGGCCGTTTCGCAATTCTCAAGAGCACAAGTATGGACTTAAAAGTATAATGTTCTCGCCTCAAACGTACATTGATTGAACGGCAACAGAAAAGAGAACTTAAACCTAATACTCTGAGCTCTGTGAGCGCTTCATTGAAAGCTGCTGCTGCCGCAGTGCATGCTGGGATTTCTGTCAATCTCAAGAACGGTATAAAGGGAGGGGCGACAACAACATGCGGGGACTTTGTCCGTTGACGGTCTGTTGTTCTCGTGAATTGGATCAGTACAAGGACTGAGGCTGATGATATTTCACGAGTACACGAGCACATGAGAAAGCACAAGTACACATATTGAGAAATGGCCATGGTACTGTTCTAGTATGCTTCCGCTCTGAGAATGAACAATTTCCCCTCCACTGGACGGAGGTAACATTACAACATTGAAGAAAATTCAAATGGGGTTGTTATCAGTTAAATGAATTGAACAGATTTTTATCTAATAAAGCAATAACTCCAATTGTAATCATGATTTGGTTATTTGTTCATATCCCTTACTGAAATGCAAAGTATGTATTCATGACTATTTGAAATAACAGATATTATATACCAGCTGTTGTTTGCAACATCTTTAATCCACACGGTAATTGAAGTCCATGTTTCGTTAAATGTTACTTTCTAACTCAATGTCTCTTTTTAGCACAAGATAGCTGCAGGAGCCTTTTAAACAAAAGCCACTTTTCAACATGTAAGCAGATTTTTTTTAGATTTGCCTGCAAAATGAATACCTAATGCATGGTCATGTTTGATTTTCTACCAACCACCGCTGGCTCACCGAGCGAATGTAAAGTGCTGGATCTGGCTCAGTGGCCATAAAATGTCCTGGCCTGAGTTAAGCCCACTAGCAGCCACAGCATTACTGACCACTTTTCTGTATTGATAATTTTTTCCTTATTCATTTAATA